TTAAACTGGAATGTTCTTGTTTGTCACTCCCATATTAAGGTTTTGTTTTGTTTTTTTTTTTTTTTCATTTACCTTTTGATTTATTATTTCATTACAAATACAATATATCTACATTAATACAAAGTGATCTTTTTTACTTCATGCTACCTACATTCATTTTCTCAGTTGAATTGTCTATTTATAAGTAATTAATAAAAATTTATCTACCAATTATTTATTTATTATTTTATAGCAATAATTTATTATTAATGTATTAATACATAATAATAGATTATTGATATAATAAATAAATCAAAAAAATTATATTMTTTATTAAGTTACTTACTTTATTTTATTATACTTAAAGGTTTAAAAATTAATTTTTTTTTTTTTTGTAAATATGGAATGTCTTTTTATTTAATTAATTAAGATACCATATTTTGATACATGAATTACTTAAACAGAAAATTAATAAAATTAGTATTAGTATTGATATATTACCAATAACCTTATTAAAAGTCATATCAAAATAGAAAGTTCCCTGAATTATGATATTATAATCCTTCAAATAGTTACAATAGAAAGTAAACAAATATTAAATTAACTGAGAAAATGAAAGTATAGATTTTATAGATAAGCTATTCATAAATCTCTTTTATACAACTATAAATTATAGTAGCTTAGTTAATGAATTGAATTGCTTTGAAATGCATTGATTTGTCAATAATTCTTAAAATAAATACATTTTATGGTACATACATAACTATTATATCACATTTGTTTGTTTAAGGCTGGACAAATTTGCTATGCAGTGTTATGTGTGTTTTCATATATTGCTGCCGGGCACAAACGGACAATTAGTCAAACGTATAAAGACAAAGCACAACGGAAATTGTCAACATATTCAGCCGAATCAAGTGAAAATAAATGCTAATGTCTCTATACTATAAAATTCAGAAACTATTAAAGTGTTTAATATACCTAATTAAATATTTAATAAATATGGTATTTAAAATTAAGTAAAACATTCTTTTTGTTTATTATCATATAGTTTTAATGTTCAAGGGCCATTTGTGTAAAAATGGATAAATAACTTTCGTAACACCATTTTTTTAAATTAGATTTATTCAGATTATTAACTGTACTGCAGAATATGTTTTCATTTAAAATATATAGAATAACAACAATTATAATAATTATTGTTATTATTATTTATTATCATAAGCATTATAATATTAGGGAAAGAAAAAAGTACCTAATAACAGAATAGTTATATTTTCTTAAACTTATGCAATTGTTATATTTCTTGCAAATACTTAACACATTTGAGCAACTGTGTTATGAATATAAATATTGATAATTATAGATACATACATCTGTTTAGGGCATTATTATAATGTATAGTTGTATCAAATTTTGTTTTAAAATTGTCTTAGTTAAAGTGTTGTACATTTAGGTTTAACATGTGAATGTTAACATTAAATGTGGTGTTAATTTTATCAAATAAAATACAAATACATTGTTTACTACAACTATTTTTTAATTATTATTGTAAATTCCTGCTATAGTTTATGTTTAAGATATTGAAAAAAATATTTAAATTCATAACACAATCATTTTTTTTTATAAAGTTTAATTAAAACTAGAATTCCCATTAACCATTCGTTTTAACATTAAAAAATATAAACATTGATTGATATAATATACATTGTATTCATTAATAAAATGTATAAAACAATAATTATACTACTTGAACTGTTTCTAAGATTTTTGGATGGTATTATGAACAACCTCTAAACTATAACCAAGACTAGTGAAGTGTTACATCTCATCTAGAATGTGCCCTGGCGTTTTCTAGCTGTCAAGTAACTATCAGACATTGTATGACATTTGTGAAGGCTGATTGAAAACAATCTTAGGGGATCCTTAGACAGATCCCAAGAATATATCATCTCGTCAAATGAGTTATGGCTACATACAATTTGCTGTGCTAATTTTAAGTTAGTATACTTATTTTTCTGTGTACCCTGCAGTTGTCAGCTATTGTGTAAAATGTTTTCTAAATATGACTCAGATTTAATGAGTATATAAATAATAGACAATAGTTAAATGGTCGTGTACTACTATATGATAATCTTCTAAATTGTTACATAAGAACATGTAGTCCTTAACAAATTATATTGATTTATGTTTTTTATTTTTCTAAATTTAAATACTTAAGATTGTGGACTAAAAATCTATTTGGATAGAAAAGAGCAACACAAGTCTCATACATCTCTATTTAATGATAGAACACTTAAGACCAATTAGAAGTTTTTGAAATTAACTATAAAAACAAAAATTCTTACACAATAGCCAAATTTTGAACGGTCTATTTAATATAATTTATCAAACAATAAAACTTCAAAATAGTTACAAATACAGTACAATTTTTTTATRAACCACCTATACAATTAAATTATGATATACAGTATAAACATATTCATTTAATAGAAATTATATACTTTTGAATTAAGCACTATAAAATGTTGAAACAAATGTTGTTCTTTAAACTTATCGGCAATAGTGAACTTGTACTCAATGTAATACCCTAATAATAAATTTATATTAATTATGGGAATTCAACATTTCAATACAAAGTCCATAATATTGTTTTGAATAATGTTTTATAATCAATATTAATTACATAGTTAACTCAAAACCTATCCCATTATTTACTAAATGTAACCACTCAAATTGTATATACTAATAATATAATATAAGGCAAAGACTACATCTCACATAAAATAACAAACAGTCATTGTTAATATATTTATGTACAATTTGGCAATAGTAGGTTATCATTTCACCTAATATACATGTGATTGCATTAGCCGCGTACTCAGTACGAATAAATATAATAACAAATATAATTACATTAGAAATAAAAACCAAAATATCAACAAACACTTCAATATTTTTATATTGATTGCTTATCGTCGACAATGAGATTAACAATGATTAACACTACAATTAACTTAATGCTATTATTTTGTTTTCGTTTTTGATGGATATATAAAACTAGTAAATGTAGATGGATATTTAAACTGTTGGTACAAACCACTTGAATTGTTGCTCCCATTTTTACTATTTGTACCTGTAATTTTAAAAGATGCACCAGATTTTGCAGTTGATGTAGTAGTAGTTATATAAAATAAATAAACTCGTAAATGATCACATATTTCTTTGCAAACAAATATTGAGTATATTGCTAGATCAATAACGGTCCAAGCCTGCAATTATTAATTCCAATTTAACAGAATATTTAACAAAAAAAAAATAGAATATTTCAAATTATTACCATGCAAACACACAGCACATAGTATTCTGGTAAAATAGAATCAAAATATTGATTTAAAAATAACATGGCTGGGCCTATTAGCGTGGAATCGACATATTCAATTGGACTTTTAGTCATATGAGCAATCTAATAACAGAAAATAAGACAACATWAAATCGTWTAATAAAAACAAAAATGTAATACAGAATAAAGATTACTTACCACAAGTTTATTTGTTATTTTAGCAGTAACTAAACCAAATGCCATTATATAAAGTACAGGATGGGTTTCGTAAATATTTTCGGTACTCTTGCAAGCAATGATATACCCAGGCAGGACCACTAATATAAGAGGAATAGCAGGAGACAAAACACTTGTACCCTAAAATAAATAAATAATGAGGATTTATTTTAGTCATAACTAGTTATTTAACTTACGGCAACTGAAGATCCATTTTTGCCAATTCCACCAGTAAGTATGACAGATAGATTTGATTTGGCTAAAACCATCGATATAGCTAATGTCGTAAGCAATAATATAAACTTCAGCTTGACATTAAAAAGAGGCATCTAAAAATAAAATAAAAATATTCATAATATATTATTTACGGTATAAAAATATTATAATATTATCATGCAATACAAACATAGTTTAAAACCACTAGTGATACAGAGAGTAATATTACTAAACTAGATATGCACATTGCACATATCTCATAAAAAAAATGATAAATAAAATCTATTACAACAAAACAATATCCTGTAAGATAACAATATTATTTCCTTTCTGAGATACTATAATAAATTATTTACAATAGTATCACAGTATTTATTGGCAACAGTGCAAGTATTTATACTTATACAGCTTAATTAATATATTATTATATATTATTAAGGTTAGTTGAACATAAAAATAAGTTTATAGGGTTCAGATTTCTTAATTATAATTAAAAATGACTGTTTTTTAACACCCTAAATAAAATATAGCATAATAATTTTGACCTATCMACGTATATATTTTTAATGATCAATATTCCGTGAGAAATATGTTTAATCAATCATAAATTGTAATAAATAAGTAATCAATTTGCCATTTCTGTTATATAATCAATTAATTTAATGATTAGTTGCCAAAATTAGTATTGTTTGTTAGAAAAAAAATATAAAAAAATATATACATGGTGCCCGTGGGGATTTACACATTGTGATATCTCACGAAATAATGGATATCAATATTCTGGTTTTATAATAAGATTCACAGGGATAAGAACTACAATTATTTCATTTTTTAATTTATTTTAATGGTTTTGTAGAAAATTCAAAATGTTTATTGAATTATTTCCAAAAAAATTATAGATACCATTAATTACCTAATTTTTTAAAGTTTTTCTAGTTTTGAAGAAATAAAATATGATTATAAACTATTAGGAACACGGAAAGTATTCGGAATTAAATAAAAAAT